ATGTGGGTGTTTGTTCTAGAAGGGGGAAAAGTGGTTTTCCTCTAAACGTTGCCAATTTCACAGCAAGGCCCCTTGTGTAACCTTCACACTCACACACACCTTTCTATCCTCTCTGCCATGTGATTTGCTAGCTCAGGAAGTATGCAGTAAATATTGAATTTGATTTCTTCTTTTCTTAGTGCTGCGATTAATAATTGATGCCGTTTTCTTGCAGTTTGTGATGAAAAATTCAAGCACACGTGTGAGGGAGTCTCAAGCTGTCTGAGAACACGACTGAACACTTACAAATACGAAACGCTTAAACACACACACACACCACACGTGTGACATACAGTACAGGCCTATATACTGTATGTATGCAAGTACATATGCCACATATAGACATGTTTACTTGCAGAAGGCAGTTTATTAGTTACTGTGTTTGCGAGACATTCTATTGTCTTTAGAGTTTGTTCTAAACCCCAAACCCTATTAAGCTTCTGAATCAACCGACTAATATACAGACATCATTCAAACTTAGTTTTAATTTCTACAAATTTTCTATCAAAGTAAATCAATGTGAGATTTTTAAAAACTTGAATCTTAAATTTTAAACTACAGATAGCAGAAATAACTGCCATTACTCCAGTCTTCAGTGTCACATGATCTTTCAGAAATCATTTTAATGACTTACTACTCAAGAAACATTTCTTATTTTTTGCAGGTTTTTTTTGTGGAAACTGTGATGCATTTTTCAGGATTCGTTGATTACTAGTTCAAAAGAACAGCATTTATTTGAAATAGAAATCTTTTGTAACAATTTAAGTCTTTACTGTCACTTTTGATCAATTTAATGCATCCTTGCTGAAAAAAAGTATTAATGTCTTACTGATTAAAATCTCACTGACCCTAAACATACACACAGGTTAAAAGAATGCATAAACCTAGTTTATATTAATGTTAATTCAGTACATTTTATTATAATCTATTCGAACAGGAACCTTAGGCCCTATTAGAGAAGAAGAGAGCACTTACGTCTCCTTTGTGATGAGGCTCCGCAGGTGAGATCTGATGGATTTGCGCCAAACATACTGAATCATATTACAGTTGACAAGTAGAGTCTCACAGCATCTTCCACAAGTCTTCTTTGTGCATTGCAATAGCTGCTGGATTGGCTTCCTGTGGGAATTAATTCATTTGTGCCACCTTCATCCAAGTCACTAAGCTCCCACTGACCTTTGACTTATGGATTGGTCCAATTTTGAAGGACACTGGAAGGAGGAGAATGGAGATACTTTCCCTAGCGGCTTTCAAATGTCTGCTCTGAGTCTCTGACACTCATTTGGCTTCCTAAAATCTTATAATAATTTGCATTTTAATTCAAACATAGTCACTGTCAACAACCAACAAAGTGGTATAAAATGGAGAGAAAAGTCTAAAATGCAAAAGAGACCATTCACACAGAACGTGTTTATCTTCGAAAAATGCGGTTTTTAAACGTTAAACGTCTTTAAACTTGAGCACCACGGTTTTTGAACGCCACCTCATACGCGAGACGCTGCAAAACACGCGAACGGAACATCAAAGATGTCCGTCTACTCGTGTTTACACAGAAAAACTGTGGGAAAAGTAGCTCAGTGGAATTTCAAAATGCGTTCTGTGGTGTTTACTGTTCTAGCCAAATCACATTTGCAACCACAAAACAATACGTTAAAACCACTCTGAACGCCTTAGCGTTAGGCAAAATGTTCCCTCAGAATTAATTGAGAAGTTACACTGTACATGTGCCTATGTGTGAAGCATGACAATGCCTAAGCCAGATTTCTAAAACTTAAAAGTTTTAGTTTGCAAAACTAATATTAGAAGCATGCACACACCCACTAGGCAACATCATACATTTAAATATTTGCAGGCCCATTTTGTTCCTCTGCGGCAGTGAAAGTGGAATGAATTAGACTGAAATGTTCATCTCTGCAATGACGAATAAAAAATAAAGATGTTTACTAACATCAATAAGGCTCTAGCTCTGTGGTGGAGGTCTGACTGTAGTTCAAGAGGTCTAATTTAAATGCAAGTGCCACCCTTAGTGGGGAGTCAGATCAATTGCTCAGTTTCAGGGAAAAGTGGCTTCCTCACACTGCAGTAAAGGAGACTTGTCCACATAAATCTGTTAGTGGGTTGTTAATCTAATGGTTAAGGATCTGGGCGGAAGAGGTTACGTGTTTAAGTCACCACTACTTGTCAAGCTGAGGTGACCAAGTTGTTGAGATCACAGTTCAGCTCTGTCATGTCTGTGTTTTTGAGCAAGGCATTTTACTCTTTGCTAACGTTTAACATTTTTATCATAATATTTAAGAAATTAATATTTTTATTTATGCATTAAATTGATCAAAAGTGTCAGTAAAGACATTGATTTCTAATAAATTTTGCTCTTTTGAACATTCTATTCACCAAAAACCTTGAAGAATTATGACAATTTCCACTGTTTTTAACACTGATAGTAATAAGAAATTCCATCCATATAGGGAATATATATATTACTTTAAAAAATAAGAAATATACAATTAAGTAAGAATGTAAGTTAACCACATCTTGAATTACCTTCAATTAATTAAAGACCAAATCATGGCAAATAATGGGTTACTGTGCAAAATACAGAACAAATGTCTCATTTTATTACATAAATGAATATACTAATTAATGATAGACTAATAACAAATTAATGATAAATTAATAATAAATGAAACACTTTTAGCCAGCATCAAATGAATGTCCTGTAGAGAATTCACTGTTATAAAAGCTCTTCTCTGCTACAGCAACACATGTCATGACAAATTAATTAGTCTGTTTTTGTGCTCCTTACCTGACCAGCCAAAACATCTCAAAAGTTTGAAACATACTAGAGCCTTTCCCTGTCAACACTGTTTTGACTCGAACTGGACACATGAGTGGCTTTAATGCCCCCTGAGGATATCTGGACTCCTGAAGTCAGATTTGTTGACGTGTTCCCTTCGGCCCTTGAGGATCATTCCCACTTGAGCAATTAAAGTGACGGAGCACATGATATGACAGTGCTGGAATTTCCAGCAGGAGAGTGACGAGGGGGAAGAGGGAAAGTCAGCAGGGGCTTGTTAAAATGTGCCTCTGAACAAAGCTTCACATCACACAGATGAGTCAGTGCTGGCGTTAACATTAGCCTGAGAGCGGCAGCCTGTGCCCAGATCCTGTTTGGAAATACACATGCACTCCAGGTCGGAATCAAGACTGTGTGCTTCTCCACAGCTGGACGCAAGATAAACCGAAGATTAGACCTTTTAAAATCACACAACCATAGGTGTAGCATTGATCAAAGCAGCAGGAGGTGATATTCTACCCAGATATTAGCGCTTGCTCTGTAGCATCACACTGATGCATTTATGGATGATGATGTGCAGGTTGCATAGTACCATACACAACTCTGAGCAACATTAAACCACAATCACAAAGTGAGCACAGACAGTCAACCGACAAGTTTCAGAGTTAAAGGTAGGATTATCACAATAAATGATAATATATTGTTAACGTGAAAAGCGCTGTACAAATAAACTTGAATTGAATTGAATATATCTCAAGCTCAGCTCAACACTAAGAATGGCTGGCTGGCCTGGGACCAGTGAGAGAGATTTTTTGGGCTGGCTGAGAGAACAGCAGTTGACAGTCACTGGTCTTTTTAGGCTAGTTCTGCAATACCACCAAAAATCTTGCATTCATTGATCTTGTACATCCAGTTTTATGCCTTGCAAATTTAACCATTTAGTTTTCTGAGATGTATTATTATACACTGCTGTTGTTAGAAAGAATAATAAAAAAAAAAAGTTTTTGTAAAGAAACGTTTTCATTAAATGAAGTATAAAATTATGAAGTATAAAAACGCATTGCTAAAAATAGCATTGATTATTCTAAAATGGGGGCTCCTTGGTGTTGAACCCTGTAAAATGTCTCTTAATTTCTAAAGCTACAATAGACATATTAGCATAAATTAGCATATTTATATTAGCATAAATATTGTTAAAATTGAATCATATACATACGAGTCATAGCTGTACCACTTGTAGCACCAAACTAAACTGTAAAAATGAGCAAGCCCGTTTTCTCACAAGTTAATGTGAAAAGAAACTGGAAACATCAATAAATGGGCCATGGCTGAGACATGGAGATTCATTAAAGGGTTATTTCACCCAAAAATGAAAATTCTGTCATTAATTACTCACCCTCATGTCGTTTCAAACCCGTAAGACCTTCATTCATCTTCGAAACACAAATTCAGATATTTTTGATGGAATCTGAGAGCTGTCTGACCCTGCATAGACAGCAATACAACTGAAATGTTCCCAAGTCCAGAGACGTAGCAAGGAGATCTGTAAAATAATCCATGTGACATCAGTGGTTCAACCGCAATTATACGAAGCTACGAGAATACTTTTTGTGCGCAAAAGAAAGAAAAAAAAAAACGACTTTATTCAACAATTCGTCTCCTCCGCATCACCCTGGTGCCATTTTGGAGAATATCCACTGGACGTAAACAACGTATGCTGTTCTGTGTCAGCTGCGGAGGAGACGAATTGTTGAATTTGTGCTTCAACAATTGTGCTTAGGGCTTAAAGGGTTAAATTACAATTGCCCTGTAAAATAAAAAAAATTATAATTAAAGGCCTAATAATAGTAATTACAATAGTAAATAGTACTTAAATTCTTCGCTGTCAAACGTTAAAATCTTTCCATTTTGGCAAAGTTCTATCCACCGGAACGTTGGTCATTGTGCAAATGTGTAAATAAAGAGAACGTACCACACACTGAGTTCCCAAGATGCACATTAAACTCACTGCACATCCAGAGATGTGTGAATTGAGGCGCTGAAAACACTAAGCTGCACATGAGTAACACAGTGCCGCTCTTCACTCTGAAACACACTGCACAAGAGACTATACACTTAAATAAATTTCAGCCTTTGATTTCATAATCACACTAAGCTATAATCGCAATTTATTTTGATTAATTGTGCAGCCACATTTATGTATATTTTGCATTCAATTAAATTATTAGCTTTTCACTCACTCAAGGACCCAGAGAGACACTGCTAGAGACCAACGGCCTAAATAAGCTCATCAAGAAAGCATGGCCCTGGACTTCCGGAGGTTGTTGCAGAAAAGATAATAATGTCCAAACTGCTGATCATCATATTCTACACACTCCACGACATGCTTGCTGGAATGAGATGTACAGTGAGCAGTACGCTGATCCAGCACAGGTGTACAGAACGTCATTCATGCCTACTGCCTTTAGACTGTACCATTCACCCATCATGTGCACAGGCACCATTGGTTCTGTTTGCACCACTGAAAGAGCAAGGGGTTTTATTCTCTCAGATGCAGCTCTGGGGCTTGAGTTATGCATTACTGTGAATGTGAACTGACATATGGTTACAACCTTCCTGATGCCATAAAAATATAGGAGCACCAAAGTGTACAGACAGAGAGTCCGCTACACACATACCCAGCCACACAAGTGCACAAGGACATATATTTCCAAAAAAGACAACAAAGTGGCATTCCAAACGCCAGACAGTAGAGTCCAATTTGGTCGTTTCTGATCTAGATATAATGTGATCGTGCTGATTTACTATACAGTGACAACCATGGTACACTGCAGTTTTTATGGGCGTCTTACATCTGTGGGCCAGCAGGGGGGAGTTTAAGGTTTTAGAGTTCTATGTGCCTTTATTGAGTCGAGCTAGCTGCTCCTCCTGGTACTCCTTCGAATCCTCCCAGGGACGTGGGCCACGAATGTTCTTCCATACATCCAAGTCCAAATCCTTTAATTTCTGTAGGAATAAAAGAGATTATGCTATATTAAATCACCTTTTTTTTTTTCAAAGCCACAAATCACATGCACAAACACAGAATTTTAAAGGGGTCATATGATGCAATTTCAATTTTTCCTTTCTCTTTGGAGTGTTACAAGCTCTTGGTGCATAAAGAA